TAGGATTTGGGCACCTGATTTTTAAACACACACATTCTCACATGATCCTGTCATGCTATAGTCTGGGTTCTTTCTGCTTTGGGAGACATGTTCCTGACATCTCGAAATGGAACTCTGATTTTATTTTCTCATGCAACTGAGGGGGATTAGATACTAGACATCCCCCAAATTGGTATGTCTATTGCAACCTAGCATGGCATATGTCAAGGGTGCCCAAAAGTTTATGTAATTAAATAAGCTCTAAGTCAGTTATTGTCCTCTGCTGTATAGTACATGATAGTCTAATATCAAAGGTAAATATGCCCTCTGCTACCTATAACCCTCTATTACCAGGCCAGGAATAAATAACCAGTAAGGGGAATACATATGTTGTATGTTGTATAGCCATTAAAAATTACAGTTTCAAGTAATAGTTATTTTCATGGAAAAGCGCTTACAATATAGTTATTAAGTTTAAGAGAAGACAGATTCTGAATTTTTAGGAAGAGTAATATAAAACATTCATAGATAAAAAGACAAGAAGGAAATAAAATGTCAATGGTTATATCTAAGTTTTGGGATTATAGAAGAATTTTGTTTTTGCATTTTCTAAGTTTCTTATAATGAGTGTATTTTCTAATCAGAGAAAGGGAGACATTTAGAAAAAACCAATTCTCCGAAGAGAATACTCATGTCAACAATACACTTTAAGTTATTCTTTGGCCTCTTTAGGCTTTTTGATTCAATTGGTTTTGAGGACAAAAAATACTAATAGAAAGACACTTGACTTTTATAGAATTTTCTCTGTAGAGAACTTAGAACTTTTGGTTGTGCATTGTCATGAGTAAAAGGAAGCAGAGCATAAAGTTTCAGAGTTGTCTCTGGATATGAATCCCGACACTGCCACTTACCAGTTGTATGACCTTGAACCTGGGAGCTTAACTACCTTATGCCTTTGTTTCCCCAATGTGAAAGGGAGGGCAATAATAGTACCTCCCTCTTAGCAAATGTGTAGTATTAAGGATAGTCATCATGCTATACATTATCTCTAGACTTACTCATCGTGTTAGCTACAATTTGTACCCGTTGACCAGTATCTTTCCATTTTCCCCGCCTCCCTGCCCTGGTAACCGCTATTCTACTCTCTGCTTTTGTCTTTGACATTTTTAGATTCCACATGTACATAAGATTTTACAGTCTTTTTTCGTTTCTGTGTCTAACCCCAGAACTCATCTTAAAAATAAAAGTATTCACCTTAAAATAGAGTTGTTCTGAGAATTAAATGACTTAATACATAACAGCACTCAGAATGGTGAATTTTTTATTACATTGTTTTTCCTGTTTTAATTTGGACTAATTAATTTGAACTAATTTTTGTTTTCCTTAAGAACTGATTATACCTAAAGTCCAATGAACTTAATGTTCTAAAGTAGAATTTTATTTTACAATTGAAAAAGATGCTTAAAAGTTCTGAATTGCTTTTTACCGTCGTTTTGGTTTCCTTTTTTTTTTTAATAGGTATCCTCTTAAGAATCAATAAATAGCTACTGAATAAATGGATAGCTAGTTTGAACCAAATTTAAAATGTGTAAACTGCTCAAAGAATGAAATAAAGTATAAGTGTATAGAGAATGATATTTTCCCCCTTCTAGTTTCCTCATATAGTATATGTAGATCCTGATCAGTGACTGCCCTATGTACTTGACTTATACTTGTCTGTGGCACTCAGAATGTTAAATATAATTGGAAATAATTTCTATAATAATTAGAATCAGCAGCCAAGAAACCCAAATGGGATGATTTCAAAAAGAAGAAGAAAGAACTGAAACAAAGCAGACAACTAAGTGATAGAACCAACTATGACATTGTTGTTCGGGCAAAGCAGATTTGGGAGATCGTGAGAAGGTAATGCTACTTAGTGGCATCTTTATTGGCCTCTTTGAGATGATGGAGGAGTAAGAGTATGCCTGGTAGATAATGAGATGTCCTAAAACAAATGACATAGCACTTGGGTTATTTAGGGAGCATTCATAACACTCCAGTGGAGGTATCAGTATTTGGATATCTTGTTTTAGAAATGTGGGGATCACTAGGATCCCCAAAACAAAAACAAGTATTTGGCTGTGTCATTTTAAAATAATTTACTTAAGGTAAATCAGTGTTCTTGAAAGTTATCTTGAAGAATTTATTAGTTAAGTATGTGGTAAAATGTCTTGCTCTGGACTCTATTCTTTTGTATGTTCTAAATTGCTGGCTTTTTAGGCATGTGATGCAAACTATGTTTATAAAAATGCATTCGAGTTAAATTGGGTTTGACATCCTTCCTGAAAGATTTCTGAGAAAATGAAGGACAATTTCTTAGCAGCTAGGTTTTGAAATACTTAAGTCTTTGGCGTCCTGCACTTGTTTTATTTTCTTCACTTTTGAAGTTCTGGCTGTGAAGGTTTAGATTGATGCGTGAAATTATACCTTGTGAGATGAGTTTCTGCCTTTGAGAAAATTACTTCTCTCTGGCTGCTCTGGAATAGTAATGTTAATGTCAAAAGGTTTGCTGCCTTCAAAGAGAAAATCACACTTAACGGGGTGAACATACACTGAAGCAGTTTTTAGTTTCGCGTGTATAAAATGTCTTTGCTTAAGCTATATTTTCCGCCCTCTTTTATTTTCTTTTATAGAAAAGACTGTGACAAAGAAAAAAGAGTGAAGTTGATGAGTGATTTGCAGAAGTTGATTCAAGGAAAAATTAAAACTGTAAGTAGGGCATACTTACAGTTGCAGTTTTAACTCTTGAAATTGACTTACTCTGTAAAGGGTAGCTGGCCATTTATGACAAGTGAAATTGTTATTTTAAATGCATTTAGCCAAAATTTTCAAATAATGACTAAATAAAAAGTTTAATAATTAGAGAATGTATTGCTGGGAAATTGTAAAAAAAGCCACCAAAAACAAGTATTTGGCTGTGTCATTTTAAAATAATTTACTTAAGGTAAATCAGTGTTCTTGAAAGTTATCTTGAAGAATTTATTAGTTAAGTAGTATGTGGTAAAATGTCTTGCTCTGCACTCTCTATTTTGTATGTTCTAAATTGCTGGCTTTTTAGGCATGTGATGCAAACTATTCTTTCTTCCATGCTTTTACAAACATGCAAAGATCTTTCAAATGTTACAGATTTGGGAGTTCTAACGTAATTTTCATTGTTGATGTTTGGTCCTGCTTATAGTAAACGGTTGACTCATGTATTTGGATAAATACTTAGCGACTGATCACCTGTGAGACAGCAGAGTCAGTGGCTTTGGGGACTCTGGAGGAGCAGCATGTGCCAGACCATGTGCAGAGGCCCAACAGGCTACATTGCAGTTAGAAGGAAATTCCCCGCCGCTGCTTCCTTATACATCTGGCAGGATCTTTTTAGAAAGAACTGTTTCTCTGCTCCAGCAGTCTGTTATCCTCTATTTATAAACATTTTACACTCAGGATCCTTTCCCAGTTACTCTTAGGTTATTAGTACATGCCCATGGACGTGGGTGTTTAAATCTGGTGGTCAATTCACTCTGCTGCTTAGCATCTGTACCTTTGGACAATTACAACATATTTATTATGTACTGTGTGCCAGGAGTTGTGTTAACCAATGCATATGTTGCCTCCTTTACCTTAACGTTATTATCCCTATTAGACATTTCATACATCTGGGACTCAGACAAGTTAACTTTCATCTCCAGGATCACAGGGATTGCAGGTTCCTTAATGTCTCATACATTTATTTTTCTCATCTGTAAAGTGGGAATAGCAACAGCCCACTCTTAAGGTTGCTTTGAGGTCTAAATGAGAAAAATATATTTAAACCATGTATATTGGATATGTAGTAAGTAAGTAGTCAATATATGTACAAAAGCGGCCTTATTTTTTAAAAATTGTTTTGGTTTTAATCATTAATGTCTATATAAATACCCCTTAAGGAAATTCTAATGACATCTGTGGCTTTGATGGGTGTGTACCTCACCTTCTGATTTATTGGAATTAAAACATTTTAGAGACAGATTGAGCAACTAATAAGCACTATTAAAGTAGACAGGTACTATATCATAGTAAAAAACAATTTTGCATAACTGATAGTTGTTGCTATAGAAAATTGATCAGCAAGTCCTCCCTTCATTGAGGACCTAATCTATCCAGTAGTTGTGATGAGGGAGTGGGTTGGGGAATTAGATTTGAAATACAACAAATTTCTAGGAATATAATTTGATATATGTTTAGGAAATCATAATAAAAATGTAAGAAATGGAGGGATTAACTTATAATTATCAATTTGTATATTGACTTGTGTAGCAAGACTTTTTTTAGATCTTTATCTTTGGTTTCCAAAGACAAACTTTCTTAGATTTAAAAAGGTCATAAAAGAATAGAATCTAAAAATAAGAAAATTCCCCTTTTAGGGAAAATAACTTTCAGAGAAATGAGAAATATGGTATGTATAATCATTAGACAGGCTTGCTTTGATTTTTGGTTTTAAATAATAATGATCAGAATCTTGCAAAATAGTTAAATCTGTTCCTGTATCAGTGCTGTATTTTAGGCAGCAAAACCAAAGAATGCCATTTTGTACCATTAAAACGGGTATTTTTATTCCCCAGTAGCTTAGATTTAATTTTATCCATGGAGACCCTACCTTTTATCTAGCAAGGAATTCTGAAAGCGATAGTAATAAAACATAAATAATACGAGAGGCCTGGTGCATGAAATTCGTGCACTCGGAGGTGGGGGTGTCCCTCAGCCCAGCCTGTGCCCTCTCACAATCTGGGAGCCCTCAGGGGATGTCTGACTGATGGCTTAAGCCGGCAGTCAGACATCCTTAGTGCTGCCGTGGAGGCAGGAGAGGCTCCCACCACCACCACTGTGCTTGCCAGCCATGAGCCCGGCTTCTGGCTGAGCATTGCTCCCCCTGTGAGAGCACACTGACCACCAGGGGCCAGCTTCTGCATTGAACATCTGCCCTCTGGTGGTCAGTGTGCGTCATAGTGACCGGTTGTTCTGCTGTTCAGTTGATTTGCGTATTAGCCTTTTATTATATAGGATAAGATAGGATGATAGAAACATAAATCTCAGAGAGAATTAGTCTAAAGGCCCAAACTGTCTTTCCTACAGATTGCATTTGCACATGATTCGACTCGTGTGATCCAGTGTTACATTCAGTTTGGCAATGAAGAACAGAGAAAACAGGCTTTTGAAGAACTACGAGGTATTTCTTATATTTTGAAGATTAATTTTAATCATTTGTAATGAGTCACGTGTTTTCTCTTGAAATACCCAAGACTGTCCTGCAAAAGAATTCTGTTGTGGGAAAGCAGTATATCCTCTGTAGGACTGTTTACATTTTTATTTGTTCTTTGCCTGGGATAGACAGAGGGCTAGTTGTTTATATTCCCAGGATTATGCATTTATTTAGTTCTTTGTTTCTAAGGAGTCATTGTAATATATTTTGTCTTCCAGATGATTTGGTTGAATTAAGTAAAGCTAAATATTCCAGAAATATTGTTAAGAAATTTCTTATGTATGGGTGAGTTGTTTTTATTTATATTAGTTTTTTAAAGATGTGGGTGCCAGTTGTGTGCAAATGTTACTTGAAAGTCTGTGACCATAAGAATGACCTTCAACAGTTGCTTGTAATGTTTCCAGGGAGTGTGATCTTAAAAACAAATACTGAAATTGATGTAAATTGATGGCACTGCCTTCACCATTCTTAGTATATATCTTGAATGCTAGAAGAAGAGAAGTAGGATAATTAACTTGTAATTTGTTACCAGTATTTAGAGGGGAGAGGGTTGGGAGGTGCAGGTGAGTACACACAGAGGCAGAGGCAGAGCCAGTGGGTCAAGCTGGTTTGGCTGAGGATAGAGCATCAGCCTGTGGACCAAAAGGTCCTGGGTTTGATTCCGGTCAAGGACAGGTATCTTGGTTGTAGGCTTCTCCCCGGCCCTGGCCTTGGCTGGGGCACATGCAGGAGGCAACTAATCGATGTGTTTTTCTCACGTCGACATTTCTCTCTGTCTTTCCCTCTCTCATTCTCTCTAAAAATCAATGGAAAAATATCTTGGAGTAAGAATTAAAAAAATAATAAGATGAAGAAATGTCAAGAGGGGAGGATTTCTTGAATTAGGTGGAATTGATATTTGTCTTGATTTCTCTTTCTGAGTGTAATAATGTGCCAAAAAAAGTTAACAACAAAAAAGTACTGTTGACAAAATTTTCAACAGCTATTCCTGACTATAATTATCAGCTACTTGATTTTAGGATGTAATATAAATACTTGTGATTAAGTTCTGTTTTAAAAGAGCATCCTTAGAATATGTTTTATTCCTATTTCTGTGCATCTTTGACTTTTA